GTCGCGCGCGCTCCCGCCGCCGGTAGCGGGGCCGCGCCAGGCGGGGGCGGCGGCACCGGGCGGGAGGGGACGGGGAGAGGGACACGGACGGGGACAGGGACAGGTGCGGCAACGCCACCGCGGCCCACCGGGGCTGGCGGCCCCGCCACCGCCCCCACGGGCACCGCCGGCGCCGCGTCCCGCCGCCCGGCCGCGCGTCGTCATCCCGGCGCGGCATCACCCAGGCATCACTGAGGCCTCGGCGGGAGCAGCACCGGGAGCAGCTGCCGCCGCGTTTCCCGACGGCCGGGACGGTGCCGGTGCCATGAAGGAGGACCGCCAGCATCCCGTCGAGCTGGGTGAGGCACCGGGGCCGTCCCGGCACCGCTCCTCGCACTGCCGGTGGTGGCCCGGCCGCCAGCGAGACCGGCACTCACCGGGCTGATAGCGGGAGCAGGAGGGTGGCTTTGGGGTCACCACGGGACCACACCGGCTGCTGTCCCCATCACCACGGGCAGCCAGCCCCGGCCTGGTCTGGCCGATGTCATCTCTGTAGTGGCGGCATGTCCGTTGGCACGGCCAGCGGCATCACCGGCTGTCCCTCCTCTTGTCTCTGCCACAGGTTACGCCATCACCAAACCCGACATCCTGGCCGAGGTGGAGCGAGGGGACGAGGGGGTGGCGGCGGCAGCGGGGCCTTACGGGGAGCACCAGAGCCCCCCGGCCCCCGCCGGCCCCGCCCGGGGTGAGCGCGACGCGGGGACGGGCGGGATGGCGCCCCGGTGGCACCGGGAGCAGGAGTCGGGCACCGGCCCGCATCCCGCCCAGCCGGGGGCTTGGTCCCGCGGCATCCCCGGTGAGACGGCCGCTGCCCAACGCGCTCCTGTCTCCGCAGGGGACTGGCAGGGGAAGGAGGTGAAGAGCGAGCACGGCGTGTCCCCACCGCCCCGCTCGCCCCCGTGCCGCCACGCCGGGCCCGCCGACTTCCTCGTCCCGCTGCGGGAGCGGGGCTGCAGCTACTGCGGCGGCGGCGAGCCGGAGCCGCACCCCGCTGCCGGTAACGGGGGGTTCATCGCCGCACCCCCCGCCTTCGAGAGCCGCCGCTGCCGGCCCGGGGAGCCGCCGCTGGATTGCGCCGAGTGCGGCCGAGGCGTCGGGCAGAAGCCGGACCTGGTGCGGCACCGGCTGGGGCGCGGCACGGAGCTCGGCTGCAGCCGCTGCGGGAGAGGCCTCGCCGAGCCCGGGGGGCTGGGGGTCACCGGCAGCCCCCACCGCCCGCGGCCCTGCACCGGGCGCTCCCCGGGCACGGCGGAGGGAGCGGCGGCGGCGCCGCGGAAGGAGCGGAAGGAGCTGTCGCTGACCGAGAAGGTGCGCGTGCTGGAGATGCTGGAGGGCCCCAAGGTGTCGCAGAGCGAGCTGGCCAAGCGCTTCGGCGTGTCGCAGCCCCAGATCTGCCGCATCATCAAGAACAAGGAGCGCATCCTGAGCGAGTGGCACCGCAACGGCGACCCCGAGCGCAAGCGCAAGCGGGAGGGGAAGGACGCGGCGCTGGAGGCCGCGCTGCTGCGCTGGGTGGAGGGTGCCCACGCTGCCGACCTGCCCGCGGGCCGCCCACTGCTGCAGCTCAGGGCCGGGCACCCGGCCCGGCCCGATCCCGAGCCCAGCGGCGGCTGGCTGGCTCGCCTGGGCGCTCGCCACGGCCTCGCCGGCAAGAAGCCGCCGGCGGAGAAAGGGGACGCGGAGCAGCCCACGGCGGAGCACTGGGCCGGCACGGTGCTGCCCGGGCTCCTCCGCAGCTACGCGCCCGCCGAGATCTTCGCCTGCGGGGAGACCGCGGTGCCGCTCCCGGCCGGTGCCCTCGGCCAGGGCGAGAGCCCCGGCGAGCGGCTGACGCTGCTGCTCTGCGCCAACGCCAGCGGCTCGGAGAAGGTGCCGCTGCGGGCCGTGGGGGACAGCCCCCGGCCGCGCTGCCTGCGGGGCGTCAACCTGGAGCAGATGCCGTGGAGTTACCGCGCCGGCAGCCCGGCCGGCCTGACCGCCCCGCTCTTCGCCGAGTGGCTGCGGGACTTCAACGAGGCCATGCGGCGGCGGGGCAAGAGCGTCCTCCTCCTGCTGGCCAAGCACGAGGCGCACCCCTACGTCCAGCTGTCCAACGTCAGGATGGTCTTCGTCCCGCCAGCCGCCGCCCTGGCCCAGCCCCTGGAGCGCGGCGTTGCCGGTGACCTCAGAGGTCACTACGGGCGCCGGCTGCTGCGGTGGCTGCCGGCGGAGCGCGGCGCGGGGCAGCCCAGCCTGCTGGATGTGCTGCACATGCTGGCGCAAGCCTGGGGCGACGTTCCCCCGGGGCTCATCGCCGGCTGCTTCCGCGCCGCCGGCTTCACCACCGGCGCCGAGGCCGTGTCCCTCGCCCCGGCCCCCGGCCTGCTCGGCCGGGAGCAGCCGGAGCCGGCGGAGGCGGACGGGGACGAGGCCGTGACGGAGGGGGAGGACGCGGGCGAGCTGGCGGCCGTGCCGCCCTGCCCCTCGGAACGGGAGGTCTGGAAGAGCCTGGCCACGCTGCGGCGGTACCTGGAGTGCCAGGCCACCTCGCCGGATCTCTTCCAGGCCTTCTACGAGCTGGAGGACGCGGTGCACATGGTGTCGGCCGGCGCAGGGCGGGCCTTCCTCGGGGACACCCCTCCCCAGCAGTGACAGCCACACTTGTGCCCCTGAGAGGGGCCGGAGCTCGCTGGGGCTGTCACCAGCCCCGCCTGGCCGCTGTTCCCTGCAGTTGTGCCGTGGGGTTTGCAGTGGCAGTGCTGGGGACACAAAGCTGCTGCCAGAACCTTCTCCCAGGGAGTGGCTGCTGCAGCCAGCAGGAAACGATGTGGAGCTGCTGCCAGCGGGGATGTCCCTGCGTGGGGTAGTTGTGGCTGCCGCGGGGGGATGTGGGTGGTGCTGGGGTGTCCCCGTGCTGGGGACAGCAGCTCCATCCCACGGGGGAACCGGGTGCCTCTGGCTGCTGTCACCACGTGGTGCCTGGAGGATTGTTACAGGCATTAAAAGGTTGGAATTCAGCAAAGCGAAGCGCGGGTGGTTTTATTTTGCTGTCACATCTGCTGCGAGCGGGGCAGAACTCCCCGGGGCTTCCCAGAGCAGCAGGGCCACCCCAAACCCCCCTTCCCCTCCTGGGGACACCAGGGCCATGGCAGCACCTGCGGGCAGTGAGGACCTGGCTGATCACCGTGTCCTGGCTGTGCCAGCCGTGGTGGCACCCTGGGGTCCCTGCACAGCCCCCGTGTGCACTGTGCACCCTGTCCCCCACAGCAGGGTCCCTGAGGCGGGGTGGGGTACGGGGATGATTCTCTGCTTGTTTGCAGAGGGTCAGGGGCAGCTGGAGGCCACCAGGCCACCAGGCAGGGACAGAGGTGTCCCCACAGGCCCAGTGGGTACAGGGATGGAGGCCACAGGGGGATCCCCACATGGATACAGGGTCACAAGTGGGCATGAAGCACCCGGGGGAGGGGGGTGCAGCAAGCGGGACCCCCACAGGGATACACAACTACAGCTGGGAAAGGGGGGGGACACAGGGGCTCCTGCACTGGGGATCCCCTTGGGGACACCGCCATGGGGGTACATGGGGTGCACGGGGGTGGGACCCCCGTGGGATGCACCTTCCCGGGGGTGCAGGGGTGGGGGGCATGGCGGGATCCCCACGGGGACACAGCCCCACGGCGCCCTCGGGAGCGGGACACAGGGATGTGTCACCCCGGGGGACCCCCACGGGATACACCCACGGGGGGTACCCGCTGTCCCCTCGGCCGGACTGCAGGGATGTCCCGTCCCTTTGCGATGTCCTGTGCCGGTGGGGTGTTCCCTCCAGCGAGGGTGTCCCCTCCCAGAGGGATGTCCCCTCCCGCAGGGCTGTCCGGTCCCGGTGTGCTGTCCTTCCCGGTGTGCTGTCCCCTCCCTCTGAGCTGTCCCTCCCGGTGTGCGATCCGGTCCCGGTGTGCTCTCCCCTCCCGGTCCGCTCTCCCCTCCCGGGGCTGTCCTCTCCCTCCCTCTCCTGTCCCCTCCCTCCCGGTGCTGTCCCCCCCCTCCCGGTGCTGTCCCCTCCCTCTCCTGTCCCTCCCTCCCGGTGCTGTCCCTCCCTGAGGA